TTTTTCATGATTATTCCCCGCTTTTTGGCATAATTGGTTTCTTACATTTACGAGTTCTTTAATGCACCATTTTTATGAATAAAAGTAGACTCTTCTTCGCTTTTGACTGAATTGTTTTCTATGCATTTATAAAATCTTTAATATACCATTTGTATAAATAAATGGAAATGCGGTATACTCTAAAATGAGACAGCTAACCAGGATCAATATTTAAAGGTGAAAAACGTATCTAGAGGTCTTCACCAATAGATAAGTGAAGCTTTATAAAGTTCTGATTCTAGATAATTTGTAGATATATTTAAAAGAGAATCCCAAGGTATTATCAACTATATATACGTATACTGTATATATGTGTCGGTGTACATTTGTTATGTGTTAAATCTGTATTAAAAAATCCCAATATTATCAATTACTATTTTAAATTGCTCCTTCAAAATTCGCAATTAAGATAATTTTTCTGGTATAATTGTAACTAGAATTTCCGCTGTGTTTCAGGTGTCAGGCCACCATTTCACACACTCCAATTTAGAACATATGTAAAAGTATAGCCCTTCCCTGACAAAAAATAGTGCTTTTGTTGTCTTTGTTTACTTAAACTAACCAACAAATTTGCAGATATGGAACTTTTGATGAAAGAAAAATATATTTAGACGATTGTGAGTCAAATTTTACTTGTCCATAAGTTTGCATTAAAAATTGAGGATTTATGCTCTCCATAGTTTATTTATTTAAGATTTCCCGAAAACAAGGGGTTATTTTTAGTAGTAGTTGCCTTCGGAACGCTGGTGTTTCACTACAAGACTTTAAACAGTGGTTGAAAATTAGCATGCAGAAAGGTGATACATGTACAATTTAGGATATACCTGGTTTCTATGACCTTAATGTAGATTATCCTTCTGACCTACACTTGTACTTTCGGTTAGACTGAAAAGCAAAGAAGAACTTTTAGGTTTTGATTATCAAAGGCACGATAAAATACAAACAAATAATCGATAGTCAGATTATCAGAATTTTCTCATGTATAAATTACAAAAAAAAACAGGATATGAAGCTGCACTGATACACCAAATCCCAAGCCTCAATTGTTATTTTAAAATTTTAATGTGCAGAAAATGTTCAAATTAAAATGTAGAGGCTTTTGTCTACACTGTGTTGTTTTTGTTGTTTTTGTTGTTTTTTCAATCATATTTGCTCTATCTCTACATCTGTTCATTTTTTCACGTGCGGTTTTTATTTATTAGTTTCCATGTTAAGTACATATGTACCTCAAACATATACATAAAATATTGAAATGTAAATATTTAAGATCTCGGAGGTTACCTAGCAGTAGTACTCTATGCAAAGTTACAAACAGTAATAGTTTTAAAGTCACAGATATTTCAATGCATCTAGGAAAACTACAATATCAAGTTAGTAAGCTACCCTGACACTCTGACAACAAAATGCACAATATATGCTGCACTTTTTAAAGCGCATAAGGTTAATAGTTCAAATTCGGGTCTAACCTCGAGACTAGTACAAACATTGCACTGTATAAAAAGAAAAGTACATGTAAAGGGTGTACTTCGACAGACAATTTTCACAAGAAAAGTACATGTAAAAGGTGTACTTCGATAGACAATTTTCAAAAGAAAAGTACATGTAAAGGGTGTACTTTGACAGACTATTTTCACAAGAAAAGTACATGTAAAGGGAGTACTTTGACAGACAATTTTCACAACTATTTTGTTCATTCAAGTTCTGAGCAAGTCTCTTTTTGCAATTTAGCTGCATGTGTGATTATCAAACAATCCAAAAATAGGGAACAGAGCATTTTTTCTCAAATAGTACTTGGAAAACTAACTTGTGGTTTACCGACGGGACCAACGAAATGGCCAATCCCTTATCTCCTCTGGTGAAGATTTCTAGGGACCAATAAAATTTCCTACTTTGCTGAGGCCCAGTGTTTTACTTTTTTTTTTTGTTATCTACCCTTTCATGTGGCTTTAAGGAATGAAACAATGGTTTTTAAACGTTGCGACAATGCACAGTACATAATATCACTGTCTTATAGTGAAAAGGGTATTTATATTGATTATAGAAAAAATCTCTAAAAGTTGTATTAGTTTATCATGTTAACCCATGTTTTAAGTATTATAAATCACGTTGGCGCAGCCGTTCTCGTGCTGCCAAGAAGATACCTCTGGTTTACTTCCGAACGTAATTTACTTTCTCTTCCTTTAAAACCCTTGTTATAACTTCACAAAAATTTGATCGTACCAGTGCTATCTATTATAATGATTTTCTACGTAATTCCTACTAGTATATTTGACTGTGAATGATAGAAAGGCAAAACACTGCAGTTAAGCTTAAATAATGACAACAAACATCATGGCGTTTATATCTTTTTTAACAGTATATTGTCTTTTTCAAATTATTTCTTTCAGTCTTTTAGATTTTTCAGATTCCTTTCAACTTATTATTATTTGAGGGGTGGAAGGACCTTCACTGGGACGTCGGGCCGGATTTGGCCTTTATTGTGACTGGCATTCGGGATTAACACTTATCGGCACTTGGGAATTTTTGATTATTTTTTTCTTGAATCGGGAAAGAATACTTTATTTTTTCTGGAAATCGTGATGACAACCCTCATACCCTCCTCTAATGTTTATGTTGTTTTATTGTAAAATTTTTTCTGCAATATTACCTCCGAGTGCAATTTCTCTCCATATCTTACTGAAGATAGAAAATGAAAGGATATGGAGTAAATGTACATGGGACAAAATCGCAGACAATACATAGAAAACATAGAAAATTATCAATGAACAGGGCTTTTATTCCTGTTCTTCATCTTGACAGTTGATTTACTAAAGATAATCCAGACAGAAGAAGTTTGATTTCAAATAAACTTAAATCATCCATTCAGTCAGAGTTATGATGAATATCAATTGCTATGTGTAAATGGTAGAAAATGTTTGAATCAAATATATTCATGTAGCTTTTTTTCTGCCATAATGCCAAAAAGGAAGGTGCGTCTGGATTGTTTTAAGGGACGGCAGTTATCTTTTGCGACAATAATCTCTTCATTTTATCATTTTCCAATAAAATTCCTTCATCTTCGCATAAATTAATGTTTTATTTGCTCCACAAGAAAAATACAGTTCAAGAAAGAGTTTCATAATTACCAATACAATCACATCCAAGAAGAATAAATAAATTTCTGAACTTCCAAGAAAACTTCTAAGCTCGCCAGTATAATGACGACGAACACTACATATAAGTTATTTTTTTGCGAAAAATACATATCACAATCATTCGAATTTACCAGATCTTATACAAGTCAATAATGATATTAATTTCGAAAATGAAATATTTTCCATTTTTACATATATGAACGAATCATCTTGAAAAATGTCCGTCAAGATGTATTAAAAAAAACCGTCAAAAATCACATCCGTTACTTTGCTGAAGAGATACAGTCCAGCTCTAGAGATGTAAACTTCAGGTTGAAAGTGATTATGAATTTTAGCACTAATGATGTAAAGTCGTGCAACATGTATTCGATTTGGACAGTACGGGTCAAAAGGGGCTTTCAGGAACCAAAAGGGGAAGTTCCCTTGAACAAATGATCTGTATAAAATAAATCTCCGTTATCCTCAACTCTGACCCCGCAAAAATAACACCATTCAGTGGTCTGAAGGGAAGCTTATCCAATATACCTAATTCGCAACTGACCATTATTATAGGATTAAACGCCTTTTTAAAGGAATTTATTGGTGTATAAACTCGACCAATTCACTCACAAACAAATAAAAGTCCGAAGGTCCAGTTTATACACCAATAAATTCCTTTAAAAAGGCGTTTAATCCTTATAATTCTTTAATTCTTTAAATTGGAGACAAGGAATTTATTTTTCCACACTCATAACCTCTTTCACACGTAAATTGTATAATTATGTCATTGAATTAGCCTGGCGCATGAGTATATTTATTTGTTAAAGCAAAAGTATGCACTCCATGAAATTTGCTATCTGATAAGAAATAAACTACAAAAAATCATAATATCATTCAAATGAATGTTTTGTGTTTATCATTTAATTTAATGATTAACGCGAAGTGAAAATAAATATTTTAAACGTCGAGCCGGATTAATTGTGTAATTATCGTCGCCATCTTGTTTACATTGGTTACAAAAAGAAGTTCGGTAATATGCAAATCATATAAGAATTATTGATTCATAGGGACTGTCGGGGGAAAATATGTATGTCAATTAGTATGTATGGTCAAACACTGCAAACCCCTAAGAAAAACACTCGATGGTCGGATATGAAACCTATAAATATATTTTAATTGCGAAAAACGTTATTTTTTTTTAGAATTCAAATCCCATAAGGGAGCTACCATTTGATTTTTATGGGGGGCTAGGATGAAAAATGTTGTCCTGCCTATTTATTTTTCCCTCTTTTTGGTCCTGCCTTTTTATTTTTCACTCTATTCGGTCCTGCCTTTTTTTTTTTTAGTTTATCCTGACTTTTTTTTTTGCAAATAATCTCATCCTGCCTTTTTTTACTCAAAACTCCTGTCTTGCCTATTTTTTTCAAATTTCATCCTAGCCCCCCCCCCCCCCCCCCCCATAAAAATCAAATGGTAGCTCCCTAAGGACTATTTGAGACCACAAGGATTTGTCATTTACTATGTACTAGTAGAAACACTGCCTGCAATTCATTCGTTTTACATCTTTGCATCTAGAGTTTAAATCATCAGAAATGGGGTTTGAATCTTCAGCGTTGGAGTTTACATCTCTAGCGTTGGATTTTATATCTCCAGCACTTGAATTTACATTTTCAGGTCTGAACTTTACATTTTCAGAGCTGGACTTTATATTTTCAGAGTAGGACTTAACACTTTCAGAGCTTGAGTTCAAATCTTCATTAACTATCTATTCTTTTTCAACAAATTATTATTATTACTATTGCTAAATAAGTATTTTGCTTATTTGGATTTTGTCATTTCAGATTTGAACACGGAGGAAAAATCTAAGGAGGAAAGAATGGAAAAGCAGAACGGTGGTAATCCAATAAACCCTCCGCCCCCATACAGTATGGACACGTCTACTGGAAACACTAAAACACCCCCAATGGGAACGAGGACAATTCTCAAAAATGTTCTTGTTGTCAGTATTGGATTTATGTTTCTATTTACTTCATTCCAGTCTCTATCAAATCTCCAAAGTACATTAAACAAAGAGGAAGGACTTGGAACAGGTGGATTGTCTATCGTTTATGGCGCCCTTGTAGTTTCATGTATGCTGTTTCCATCTTTTGTTATCGCACACCTTGGATGTAAATGGACTGTGGCATTATCGATGTTGTGTTATATTGCCTATATGGCATTTAACTTTTATGCCGTATGGGAAACCATTATACCAGCTTCCATTATTGTTGGATTAGGCGCAGCCACATTATGGTCGGCTAAGTGTGCATATCTTACTCAAATTGCTGTGTGGTATGCTAAATTGACAGGTGCAACAGAAGATGACGTCATAAATAGATTTTTCGGTTTCTTCTTCATGATATTTCAAACAAGTAAGTCAAGTTTCATTATTGACTGACTTAAACCGGTTTGAAGACACTGTTAAAATATTAGACATGGTTGAGGAGCATAACGCAGTTTTCAATTTTCATATGTTTGATGTTTGTATATATTGCAAAAAATTGTCCCAGAATGCAAATTTTCAGGTTTTTAAACATCGAAATGTCTAGTCTTTAAAGGTGAAAATATCAAATCATTGATTACGTAACATGTTACATTCGGTCATAAATATCGAAGTTTAGATGAATATGTAAATGTTATATGACAAGTAATTGCACTTTTGCGTCGTCAAGTAAAACGTTCACAACCATAATGATTTTTTTTTAAAGAATTCAAGGTCAGGTTGTTTTTAATACATTTACTTGAAGATTTCCGTTTTCTATATAAGATTCGATCTTCAAGAGAAAACACACCTAATAAAGTGTATGTGCGACATTATTCCAACGACTGGGAAATAATACTAAGTAATGTATGTAAGGTAGATTGGGTGTCTTTTTCTGAACCGTTGACATCCCTTCTGTTCATGTGGCAAAAATACTTCTTTGTTTTAAAAATATTGTACCAAGTATCATTCAATATACAACAAAAAACATAGAACTTGAAATTGAAAAAATAAATTATCAATAATTTAAGTGTCGTAAAGTATATCTAAACTTTTCAGATAAAATCCATTTAAAATCAAGGGCAGATAATTATACTGAATTTTATTCATCGTAACAGCTAGCGTAAATGATAAGCTCACGCAGTGGAGTAACACCAAGCGGCACCCTTCATTCGACTATTTAGTATCGCTACGCTGTTTCCGGAAGGCAAATGTGTGGATATTATTCACACATTACGTAATAACTCGTGATGCCGTCCTTCAAATCTTGGAACGTGTTTCCCAACATACGTTGTTCTAGATTAATAACAGACATTAGAAGACTCGTATGACATCATTAAGATACATTTGTGTACTTTTAATAAAATTTAACAATTAAATTATGGCTTTCAATATCCAACTAGCACAAATAAACTGAATAAATAATATTAAACTTGCAGAAACCTGATCTTAAATGTGTTTGTAGAATGTCTTTTCTAATGGTGACTTTAATATATTTAGGTCAGATTTGGGGGAATTTAATCTCTTCAACAGTGTTTGCGGTAACGCCAGGGAATACCACAGAAGATCTAGAGTCATGTGGGTCAAATTTTGATCCTACTGCACCAACAGGAAATAATTCTAACTTGGATAGACCGGATGATACAAAGGTTTGTGAAAACTTCACCGTCGTCATATTTGTTGGTGATAATATAAATCTAAATTAAGTTAAACGCAATAAGTATTTTCGATTTTATTTTGAAATATCTTTCGCAAATGAATTAAAAAATGCTGCTGTATTATTGGAATATTACAGTCTTAAATTATTCTTCTTTGTCCACACTTTATTACTGTACATGTGGACGCTGACTCTTCACAAAGTGATTTAGGTGGATTTCTGAATTTGTTATGCAGCGGAAACATGAATTTGTACGTTTTATAAAGGTGGTCTTTTATGTCAATGACGATTAAGGTATTATGATAGTACAACAATCATTTTATGATTCCAAAATTTGCAATTAGCTTAAATAAAATGGAATCATTTATAGATAATGGAATGTGGATTAATAATACAATTAGGTTAGAATACTTTCGCAAAACTTTTCAAATATACCGGGCTTATAATTTTGTGCGCATTTCGTCTACAAAAGACTCACCAGTGACGCTCGCACCAAAAAAGTCAAACGACCTAATAAAGTACGAAGTTGAAGAACATCGAGGGCCAAAAATTCACAAAAGATCACAAAAGAGGGGGAATAAGCTTAACATATACAAATCCATAATATGAACAATGAACACTGCCATTTCCTGGGTCTTGATATCTTTATCTTAAACGGGAAGCTTAATCCCAAAATTAACGATAAAAGAGTTGATTTTTCATTTCCTACTGTTAATTATCAATTTTTAGATGGTGAAGTTCCCTTGTCACCATCTTATGGTGTTTATATATCCCAACTTGTTCGATTCGCTCGTGTATGTAACAACGTATTTGATTTAACCGAAAGAAATCTCTGTATCACTGAAAAATTATTACACCAAGGTTTTCGATATCACAAACATTTACTAAATTTTATCATCGGTACAAGGACATCATTCGTAAATATAAATCAGCTTGCAGACATCTCATACGTTCGGGTATTTCACATCTAATCTGTAATGGTAATATTCTATACAAAGCACAAAAATGTCGTCATTTTTCACCTCAAAAGCTAATAAAACCTTTAAACAGACTCGTTCAGAAGAGATATAGTTACGATACTGTTGTCAGGCCATTAAAGATGGCATGTTTTGGAATTAACATTGATTCACTCATAAGGTCTTTGCATCGGAAATAAACACATTTATCCAAAAACCAGTTGTTGGCATGATATGGGTTTTGTTCTTCTCGTATATTTTATGATGTTATGATACTAAACCCCCAACGGGAGGAATTGTGCTTGATGTTGATATGATGAAGACATAATTTTTCAATCAGTTTAATTGAGGTCTGGAGCTGGCATGGCAGTAACAGCTAGTAGTCCTTTGTTAATTTATGTATCATTGTCATTTTGCTTAGTTCCTTCTGTTACCTATTCTGATTTCGGACTCGGTTTTCTTTTGAAATGAGTTTTACTGTGTGTATTGATGTGCGTTCGATTATTCTACATTGGCTAGAGGTATAGGGGGAGGGTTGAGATCTCACAAAACATATTTAACCCTACATGAGTATACTAACACTGTTTTCTCGTATTGTTAATTGACATCAGAAATGATGGAGATCTGAAACAATAAATCAGTCAATTAATAATTATCATATGGATATTCCTCTATCCCTCCACAAGTCATTGGTGTGTCTATTTGAAATATAACTATGACTGATGCTGAGACAATGACACACCAGCGGGTGCCAAAAGAACTGTTGCGTGAGTTGTAAGTAATGCTGCAACCACAACAGCGTCGAGATCATCTGTGTCATATTGACCATCCGGTACTGGGCACTTCACTGCAGGCATGTTGTAATGTTACGTCAATAATTCTCAAAAGTGTTGAGACATCTCAATCATAAATGATTATAACACTGTTTTCTCATAACTTGAGTTGACATCAGAAATGATGGAGATCTGAAACAATAAATCAATCAATTAATAATAATCACATGGATATTTCTCTAAACCCCGCCGCATTTTTTGCGCCTGTCCTAAGTCAGGAGCCTCTGGCCTTTATTAATCTTGTATGGTTTTTTTTAATTTTGGTTCATTTATATGTTTCGGAGTCTAGTACACATTTTTGTTTAGGAGCCAGCTGAAGCCCGCCTCCGGGTGCTGGATTTTCTCGCTGTGTAGAAGACCCATTGGTGACCTTGGGCTGTTTTCTGTTCTTTGGTCGGGTTGTTGTCTCTTTTACACATTCCCCGTTTCTATTCTCAATTTTACCAGTTGAATATAAGCATACGTTTTCGTCCATGTCTCCAATGTAACACAACCATACTTTGTTTTCAAACAAGAGATAAATAAACAATAAACTGATGTTCAAAACTTGTAAACCCATTTTAATTTCAGACCAAGATAAACAAAAGATTAGGGACGCACATGCATTTTAAATAATGGTAGACAGAGTACACCGACAGGGTCAAAGTCTCCAGTTTGCATGCATCACGCGAATCAAAACTCCGTCAGAATGTTATGATAGATGCAATCGACAAATTTCCAGTTCAGTCGATTATTCCAGTATTTTAAGCTTTAAGACATTGCAAAAACGTTTGTAATGAGTTAAGACATCTCGTATCGTTTAACCAATTCGTCATGGTGACCACAAAAATTGTGCAGTCTCCTCTTAGTCGTTTTTCCTTGGAACCTTAATGGAAGAGTTTATGTGTAAGGAGCACTTCCATGTTAAATGTAACAATGCGTAAGGCTCAACTGAGATCTACAATCGCCATGCAATGAAACAAAGGGTATTTTAATGCTCAGAAATGAGAAGGTTACAGCGGTAAAACTGCTATTCAGACGTCTATCATAAATCTTAGTGTGAAGTCGTCTATCTGTATCATTTCTAGAAAGATGTTTAGATAATGAAGCAGTTCTGGTAGTTTCTTTACTGTCGTTAACTTCAACATCACTGGGATATGATTTTTCGTAACTTACAACCATAAATTTGTATTTTGGATTCAAAAAGAGTATGACATCTTTATATGTTTAATGAAGTTTTTGGTACCCAATATAAATAATGGAAATGTTTATCCATTGTTACGTTAGTATTAAAGTAGGGATGGACAGACTTGTGGTTTTCTATCATCTTCTCTTTGGTGAATTATGTAGGTGTGTATGTGACTTATGGTTTTTCTATCATCTTCTCTTTTGTGAATTATGTAGGTGTGTATGTAAGAATCTCAAAATTGCTGTAAATTCCAAGTTTGTAAAGCAATACAAATAATGCTACATTATAAAACCAATATCGTATGAGGCTTTGTCGGCTGGAACATCAAAATGTTTATCGTAAGGATAGATAAATCAACCACAACCTCCTGCTTCTTCAAAGAGTAAAAACCAGTTTTCTCATAGTATGTATTAGCTTTTAAATGCGCTTCTGAATGCATAAGTATTTCTCTTAAAATTTGATGTACGTTAGATCCCTGTTCAAAGAGCATCTGCTTTTATTCCCAATTTTTTTAAAGGTTTCGTGTTGATCAATATATTTATTTTTATATGTTGGTTTACAATTTTTGTCTGCAATTTTTTTTTTTGACTATAGAATCACAACAGCGTCTAGATCATCATTATGACTTCAATACCGCATATGAAAGTGTATTATCTGTTAATTTTGGTGTCAACCTTTAAAATCAAACTCGAAACAAGTTTTTGAACGATACAACATAAGTCCAATATATTTTGATAATTTGAAGTTGATCAAGAAAAGAACGATTACAACAACCGAAACTAATCTATACATTATAGATTATATTTGTACTTCCTTGTCTTTGAAATATTTATTAGTTCTTATAATTACCTATTAGTCATCACTAGTCCTGGGTGATCCAATGATTGAAAATCGGAAAGTCCAAGGTAGCACTATTCAAGTATTACAGATGGCAGATACATTTAAGGTTGATTCAATAAATTACATATAAATATTCTAATTTACAAAAGATTTCGGGGAAATTGGAAGGACGCTTATATAACAAAAGTGTTAAAGATTATTTATCCCTAAACGTTATTGAAACCTGAGGATACTTTGACAACAGTCCGATCCTCCTGGCTCACATTTGCGTTGATCTGAACAAGGAGTTCCGTTTATGCCCAGCTGAATCTTGGCTCGACCATGGCTAAGTGTACAATGAAAAGAATTTATATGGTTCTATCTTAGCTAAATGTGCTATAAATAGAATTTTCTTTACAAATTTTTGGCTCGTATACTTTAGTTGGCACCTTCGGTGAACATTGGTACAGCTAAGGTAAATCGATTTCATTTCAATGAATTATCTCGTCATGACGAAAGTTGAAGAATACGAGACATAGAAATGCTAATTCAGTGGCGACGGTGACGGCGCTTATTTTTTGTAAAAAGATTTATGTTTCAGAATGTTAAAGACCTAGCTGGATGCTTCATAGTTTAGGACACACGAAATCTATAATGTTTTAATTTTATTGTATATTTATGTAAAGATGTTCCGTTTGTCATACTAGTATTTCTATTGACTGTACTTGACGAATTTTCCTGTTTCAGTGACAGCTTAAAAACTGTTTAGTTTTTGCTACTTTAATTTCTAACTTGTTTCATGGGTCTGTGATCAGTTAACATTTTTGTGGTTAAGTTCATTGAGTCAACTTTATTTGTATGGAATGATTGTAAGATGTACATGTCGGTCTTGTCTTTTATTTGACATTGACCTCATTTTCATAGTTTATTGGTCAATGTTGAGTTTTTGTGGTTTGACCTGTTTTTCAGACATTAAGGTCATATATATTTGGGGTTTAGAATGATTGTAAGGTGAACGAGTCAGTCTTGCAGAGTTCATCGACCTTTCTCTCATTTTCATTGTTCATCGGAAAATGTACAATTTTAATGGTTAAGTCCATTTCCCAGATACTATAAACAATATGCCAACTATTATTGGTATGTTGAACGATTGCTAGGTGTTACTGTCTGTTGGAAGAGTTCCCCTGACCTTGACTTACTTTCCTTGAATCATTTATCAATGTTAACTTTTTAAGTCTTTCACGGATACAAGAATGAAAAGGTCAACTATATTTGGTGTATGGGATAATGGTAGGGAGTACATGACCGACTGGCAGGTTTCATTTGACCTTGACCTTATTTTTATGATTTATGATGTAATATTAAGATATGTGGTTTGGTCTGTTTTCAAGAAGCTATAAGTAATAGATCAACTGCATTTGTTGTATTGAATGATTGTAAAGTGTCAATAATCGTTTAAATGGATCATTAATAATGTTTAATTCATTTGATACAGATTGTTTGGCGAGTCTTGAACTTCTGGAAGCAATTGATTCTTTAAGAAATGTATACAACAACCCATCTGCTATTTAAGTTGTCTGTAATGGCGTCTTAGATCAGACACCGGCTCGATATATAAACCCTCTGTAACGGCGTTTAAGATCAGACACCGGCTCGATATATAAACCCTCTGTAACGGCGTTTAAGATCAGACACCGGCTAGATATATAAACTCTCGGTAATGGCGTTTAAGATCAGACACCGGTTAGATATATAAACTACCAACTATTTGCAATGTATTTAATGCTTTGACTTGACATTCTTTATAATGATCAATTACAGGTATACACACTGTGTGGTATTTATGTTGGCTGTGCTGTTATGGCGTTTATTATCATTGCAACACTTCTTGACAAGATTACTCTGGATAAAAAGCAACAAGGAGGGGATGGTAAAATATCACCTACATTGTTCCTGTCAACATTCAAGCATTGGTGGGGTTCAACGCCACAGAAGCTTCTAACATTCTTAACCATCTATAGTGGTATTGAGCAAGCATTTATAACAGGCGATTACACTAAGGTATTAAACGTCTGTAGAGAACGTATCTAAAGATGACAATTAAAGGAAATCGTACCATAAAATTAACTTGATGTCAACAGCAACCAGGAGGCAAACACATTTGTAATAAAATTTCGGTAAACTTCGAATTGTTTTTAAAAATTGTTGATAAATCATGCATTTAATATATGAATATGACAGAAATATCTAACCTTATATATATTCCCTTATTTTACCTCAATTCAAATTTGGCACGATACATTACATAAACAACTGTATGTACTCACGGTTCGTTTAGATATAAAGGGTAGGTGCGATAATGACCCTATCTGGAAATATGTTAATTATATGAAAATAACAAGTGTTCAAGTTGATGCATGAATGTTTGGGAAAGGAATGAAGATCATTTTTTGTCTGCCCTTTCTTATAAAGCATTGAAATTTACACACAAAATAAGTCAACATAGATATGTTGCTGAAAGTATACAAAATTGTCTGGCTATCAACCACATTAATTTTTAGGAAATACAAAACGCAGAGTTTGACAAAGTAGACCTTCAAGTCATATAGTTTATCTGTAACAAAGTGTATAAGATTACAAGTTAGGATTACGCATGCGTTTAATATATGCATACTTCAGTGTAGATATTCTTTAATCTCACCTCATTTTTAAATGTTGTACGATCGTTAAAGACAAAAACAAAAGTTTGTTTTAAGAATTCTTTCGAGTCAAGGGGTAAGTGTAATAAACATTATGTTAATTATATCAAAATAAGAAGTGTTCGAGTGATGCATGAACATTTGTGAAAGAAAAATAGATGATTTTTGTCATCTGTCCTTATTATTAAGCATTGAAATTAACACACAAAATAAGTTAAAGTAGACATTTTGGTCAAAGTTGACACAGTCGCTTGGATATGAACCACATTTATATTGTTGAAACACTAGAACGCATATTTCGACAAAGTAAATCGTCAAGTCATAATGTTGAAAGTTCTTTTGTCGAAACATTCGCTGTATGCTTCTGTTCCAAACTTAAGTGGAAATTTGCATGCTTTAAAAATATATAAATTTATACAATTTGTTGGACCATAGACAATAATGCTTAAATTAAGTAATATAAATATATATGTGGTTACTATAAGTAACAGATTTGGGTCTTATCGAACCTACCCCTTTAACGATTTACCTTATAAATGATGCATCTTTCAAGAGAAACTCATAAAAGGAATGATACCGGATGCGTTGACAGAGTAAGAATCGCCTGTTATGCACGCATTACCCGCCATGGGAATCCATATTCAGTCAAGATGTCACGATTGGCAGACCACAATATGTGTATGTCGCTAGTGAAATGAGACACAGACACATCGTTAACATCTTTTATTATATAGACTGAGCATGCATGACTGTAACGTATTAATTTAGAAAAAATAGTAATCGCAGGAATCATTAAGATTATTATGATTGTAAAACAGCAGTTTAATTTGTTATTACGCATGATGGAAATCCGTTATGTTCTATAACATTTAAGCCTCTAAAATAAAGTACAAAATCTAGAAATGTGGTTGAAAAAAATATTTTTTGACAAATAAGAAATATCTTTCTTTGAAATGATAAAGCTTATCAATCCATTTTGTGTTTCCTATTTTTTATCCTTTGTCTTAAATACGAACGTCATGCTAATTGATTTTAAAACACTTTCAGTCCTACATTAGCTGTGCAATTGGGATATGGAACGTGGGTTATGTTATGATCTGTTATGGTGTAGTGGATGCTATTTGTTCGTTCGCTTTTGGAAGACTGGTACAGTTTGTTGGTCATGCACCTTTTTTCCTTCTTGGTAAGATATCTGAAATGCAATTAATTATTGTGCTTATGAGAAAAGATTAAATATGTGGTCTAAAGAAGGCATATGATATACTAGACCTTTTCAAAATGCATGAGATAATAAATATCTTAAGATAACGATATTGTCTTCATTTGCTAATCTTTAAAGATTTAAAGAAGATAAAAAATCGTGATTTTCTTGATATTCTAAATTAAAGCACAACCAAACGCACTCAGTGTTTATAATATTTTCCTATATTTTTACAATTGATAATATGAAATATTTTTTTCAGCATTTTTATTGCATGGAGGAACACAAATAGCTTTGTTTCTGTGGCAACCAAATCCAGACAACCAAATTCTGTTTTACGTATTTGCAGCATTGTGGGGAATGGGTGATGCAGTTATTCAAACACAAATTAATGGTATAATATTCATGTTTTCAAAACGGAAAACTAAATATGAATAAAAGTATATGTCAACTAAACGTCAATAAGACAGCAACCAAAAAAAAAAACAAAACAAACACACACACACAAAAATCAAAGGACATCTATACAATTTTTTTTTCTAGTTTGAATATATTAAGTAGATCATCGGCGGAAATAAGATTCATCCAACAATGGGACAAAAACGCACAATGTGTTGCTCATCATACTGAAAACTTTAGTAAGATATATAACGGATGAGAAAGTATAATTATCTAACCTGCTTGAAGAAAAAGGACGAAAAAATAACAAAACAATTTACACTACAAGCGAGAGAAATAAAATATTGTTTAAAAAGCAGCACATCCCATGGCAAAGGGTAGTGAAAATTTTTCATTTATGCAGATTTGACATAGTTTCGACAATTCAATTACCGTAAAAGTAAGATGGCGATATCCCGATGTTTCTTATTTTGTGGCGCATGACACTGTAAATGTAATCAGATACGCTTGTTATTAAATGCTTAAAGAGCCAACAATATGATTCAAAAGGAGATGATGTATATATGTCAATGATATAACAAACCAACGACACAAATGACAAGAAGACATCTTTAATCATTTGAGAATCATACAATCACAAAAAGGCCTAAACTTTACGGTCTAAACTTTTCATCTGAGAACCCCGCGAACTTTCGATAGCTTTAAATTTTTGATTACCGTACAGTTTCAGTTGTTTTCATGCTGACTTTACTTTTACATGTCCAATTACTGTTTGATCTATGTAAAAACAACATTATACAATGCCTTCACTAATCTCCACCTATTCAAGAATTAAAATAAGCTAACTTTTGTTTCAGCGTTGTACGGATATCTCTTCACAAATAATACAGAAGCAGCATTCTCGAACTACAGATTGTGGGAATCGTTAGGGTTTATTATTGCTTTTGCGTGGAGTGGTTTTTTGGTTACAAAAGTAAAACTTATCCTTTGTTTTGGATTCCTTACACTTGGAATGTCCTGTTATGTATTGGCAGAAATTCAGGACCGTCGGAAAAAGAAAGGTGATTTCCAACTAAATGCAACCCAGAAGACACCTTTGTAAAAGTTCCATTGTTTAGTTGGTATATTGTTTGTAATATTGTTGATCTGTACATAACTGATGTGGTGCTATTTATTTTGATTTTATTTATTTAAAACAGATTGATAGTCATTCAACTTGCATTTTATATCACAATGATTATAGTGTGTATATATTATGTAATTTTATGTAAATATATTTGTAATCATTTAATGTGAATGAATAACATATATATGCATTTAATTTGAATTCATTGATTGATTTTTTAAGGACGATAACAATGTTAAAGAGAGTTTTGATCTTTTAAAGTTATAGATATAGTATTATTTGAAAAGAAATTCCAATAAACGTTGATTTATGACCTTAAATACATCACCATGGTAAACAAGAAAAGGTAAAGTTTGTATTGAAAAATTGAGTCTTGCTTTCTTCATTATTCGAATCGGCGAAAATGGGTTTTTAATGTTACATCGTACTCGAAAGACTGTTCTATGGCATAAAAATCTAAAGGCCTAAGATATTAGAAATATATAACGATTCTACAGAAAAAGAAAAATCAAAAGCGCATGTGAACACACACTGAGAGTGTGAAGTTTCAGGATTTCATTTTACACTCTGATAGCATTGAAAATTATTAAGTCATGTATACTCAATCAAGAATAAATGGAAACTGACATGTATATTCTGGTAAAGGTACGTACTTTAGAGTTATTTTAAATGTTTTATTATCTTCCGTATACATATGCCTGCCCCGATTATTTTAAAACAATAGATTTACCATATAATTCTAGGTTTGATAGACGATTGAGAATTGACCTCTATACGGTTTTTGCTTTATTGTTTTGTAGGGGTGCAGTATCATTGACGAATGTCTTAATCGCCTTTTAATGATATTTAGGAAGTTCTTCGCCTACACAGAATGACACTTTTTCTATACCATTTCGAAATCTCATCACCTATACCAAGTTAATAATTTAGGACGCCAGATGTTTCGTCTACTTACGACTCATCAGATGAGCTCGAATCATAACAGTAAGAAGGTCAACTCAATTACGAAGTTGAGGAGCAATGAAAATACAAAGATCCAAAAAGGGGATGACAGATCTGGATACGGTACGGATATCTATGCCTTGGGAAAAAATAATTTCAACATTCCATTAACAGTGAATTGATGGGAAATGGCCGTTTCAATGATATCAAAGGTTAACACAAGAGTGATAACCACTAGGCTGATTGATTGTGATTGTCTTACGCCACCTCTGCACAAAAAAGATTTATCACTGCGATCACCCACTAGACTGAAATGTAGCTTCAGATTTATTTACACTGTTTCATCAAAATTTCCTCATGATAAGCATTATACAAACCCAGGTCAAATAAATACATATCCTGTAACGGTACGTTTTTAAAATACTAATCAATATTGTCAGTAATACAGTAATAGACATATTGTGTAGCGTCAAAACCATCACCAATAATGCGGAGAGGCGTGACCATATGACGTCTATTTACATCATTCAACCCCAGACTGACGTCACTCGCCATATAAAGAGATCCGTAAAGTTATGATTCACCCCGGACGTAGTCTAATCAAACCACTCAAATTTGGTTGTGCTTTTAACTATTCAGTTCATCGGATACCCATATTTGGTTGTGCTTTTAACTATTCAGTTCATCGGATACCCATATTTGGTTATGCTTTCAACTATTCAGTTCATCGGATACCCATATTTGGTTGTGCTTTTAACTATTCATTTCATCGGATACTCATATTTGGTTGTGCTTTTAACTATTCAATTCATCGGATACCCATATTTGGTTGTGCTTTTAACTATTCAGTTCATCGGATACCATATTTGGTTGTGCTTTTAACTATTCAGTTCATCAGATACCCATATTTGGACGCGTGTTGTTCATCCTCAAGATGACCCACACGGGACAAGCACAATTATTATTCACACAATGACTGGAATAAAAAACATTATATATAAAAAAAATAAAAGATGCCACCAGATAAAACAATAACTCGTCATGCTCATTCAGTCGACATAAAAACAAAATTACCTGAAATTACAACCAAGAAAAGCAACCAATAAACTCTAGCATTTTTTTCAATTCCTAATGATTTTGAAACAAAAGTGTTTCCTTGTCCATGTTATGAAGAAAAGAATTTTTCGAGATTTCTTAAAAAGCCTATAATCACTGTATTGGCCGATGAATTTAGATTAATTCAAAACACACACGACATTCTTATTAATCAAGAGCAGGGGAATGACAATTTCTTCATAAAGATGTTAGACATTTTTCTCAAAAAAATACAACTACCATAGGTTAGTGTACTCGGAATCCACTGTCTGAAGTTAATGTGGTGGAAATAGTGTTACATACAATGTAGTAGCTTAATCAACATCCGTGGCTATAATTTAATAACTATGTACCAAAAGATCAAAAATACAAGTGCATGTGGAATATCATCATCTGAGTGATACCGGGCAAGTTATGTCCGTTAACGATTTATTTTAGCCGAGAAAAAAAAATTCTGTAATGCTCATTCCTATTGATTATAAATTTTCGTTCCGTTTGAGATATTTTTGCTGACGTTTTGACCCTTTGACGTAGAAAGTTACTTACAAATATAAGTTTTTCGCACTTGTGTAATGCCTACTTCGCTTGATTTTATTAGCTGTTTGGTATATATTCATATCATTAAAAGTAAAAGTAAAAAGATTCAAGTTTTGAGCAATTTTTGTAGGAAGCTTTTCCTTTCACATTGCTTCAGAATATCAGTTTTCCGTTGACAACAAAACCTTACTTATTCAGAAGTTGGATAGGGATGGCATTTGTTAAAAATATCCGTATCTTGAAATTACTATTCTTACTCGACTAATGATCAGATGTAATTTCCCTTCCGTATCAACTCTTTCCCGACCTGCAAATATAAATTGAAAACATATTAAACCATCTTTTGAATCGAATATTTTTCCCAAATAATTGTACACATCAATGGTTTCTTCCGGTAGAAGATTTGCATTGTATAAGCAATACCCTCAGAATGTGGACGTGTAACACTGGACACTTTTAATTTGCAAAACACTCATTTGCAAATCCGCCGCCGCCTCTCCTTAGAGCTACAGTGTCGTGTATATAACCAAAATGTGCGAAATTACATGGGATTCAATAAATTCATTGCTTTTCTGCTGTTTTTATTATATATATTTTTTTATTTGATTTAGAAAAACATGGGATTTTCAATATCCCATGGGATAAGGCAAATCCCATGGGATTGACCATTATCCCATGGGATTTTGGTTAAATCCCATAGGATTTTTTTGGGTCCCATGGGATAATTGTAGTCCCATGGGATATTTGTTGTCCCATGGGACAAAAAAAATCCCATGGGACTATAATTATCCCATGGGATTTTTAATATCCCATGGGACAAAATAAAATCCAATTAATCCTATGGGATTCAAATTATAAATATACAGTAATGTGTATGTTACAATGAATTCTGTTTCGTAGTAAATTGTTTTAAGATGAATCTTTTAAGTTGAATATCTTTTTTTCCTTGGAAATGTTAATGCAATTATATTGTTCTATAACTGTTCAAAACTAAACTTTTAAACAACAAAGCAGATAATGTAAGTATCAATATATGTTTATTTATGAATTCTAGAATATTTTTTTGAAACACAATTTTTTCCCATTTGGAATCAATGAAAACTCCATTATTAGGCTTAATATACTAGTAGCTTTTTACATAAATCTAATTTTTTTTCAGGATATCCCTCCATCCAAAAAATTAATAGTTTCTTATCATCCAGCATTGTGTGATCATACTGTATAGTCAACTTTTTGGCCATTCAGCACAGAACATTGTCATTATTGTGGTTTTAATATCTTTCGATATTTAATAGAACTTCGATTCATTGACTGAGTGATGAAAATAATAACTGATCTGACTTTTGTCTTTGAATTTATTCTGGTCTTGTTTCTGTGTTTTCTCCTTTTATTCTAAGTGATGAAAATCAATCCTTCTGAAAAAGAACCAATAAAATCCGAAGTTATGCATTATAAAAAATTGTTTGCATACATGTAGCAATAACATATGATTTTCAATAAAAATAGCTATGCGGTATGGATTTTACTAATTGTTGAAGGTTGTCCAGTGTCATCAGTTGCTTACCTCCTACATCCTTTGGTCTCTGATGGAGAGTTGTCAAATTAGCAATATACCACATCTTCCTATTCTAATATTATATAACAATCAATTTATGTATTCTTCTTTATAACATTTGGGTATTTTCCCCAGTTATATATATATATATATATAGATCAATGTTAAAACTTTAGGCAATTACAATAACATTCCATTTTTCACAAGAATTTGCAATATATTATACAAAACGCCAACAATAGAAACAGCACTTCTTTAAGCTTCTGAAGTTCTGAAAGAGTTCCACTTGTGTTTTATTTCAATGAGAAAATACCTTGAATTCTTTTGACATGTTGGAAATTATAACATTGATACAAAAAATTATATTGTTTTGTTTCTTCTTATTTTTGTGTTGTTCGGTTGCTGTCTCATTTTTATATATGGTTGTTCATATATCCTAAATCTTCTTTTTGTTAATACTTAATTATTAATAGTAAAAATGGGATATTTTTTATTTTGATAATCTCAAAACATTATTATTCTATCAAATAACTTATTTCCAAGTTCACAAAACACCAATGTGTCAGATATTAATTTTAAGACATTAATAAACAACATCAACAAGCAGTTGACAGGATGTCATGCAAAAATCTCACTAATATTAAACTTTCACAAAAACTCCATACTCAGTGAGTACTATTAAAGTTCTTAGTACAGGACAAATTCCTAGTACAGGACACCATGCCTGGCAAACACTAGCATGTGTCAATGTCTAGTCAATCATGTCATCAGGCTCAAAATCTTAGTTTAGCACTGAATTTAAAAGTTCACCACATAATGAACATGTGTATGAAATTCAACTTCATGGTAAGCTATGTACCTTAACCTAAAACTTTAACCTAAGAATGTACTATAATTTCACATTATGACATTTCTATGTTCAGTGATCCATAAAATCATGGTAAAAACAGTAAATGTGGTGTATAATGTATAAACAAGAGTGCACACGCTGAAATGTTGCGCCTTCTTTTAAGTTTACTAATCATTGATATCATGTTGATAGAGTCCTAAATATAAAGCTTTACTACAACTATCACATAAACTCAACATGATCCAAGAAAATGAATTCAAGGTCATATAAACCCGACAAGAAATACATGTTCACCTTACTATCATTCAATATACTAAATACAGTTGACCTATTGCTTATAGTTTCTAAGAAGCAGACTTAACCAAGAAGACTAAACATTGACCAATGAACC